CTACTAATGAGGACTCTTCATAGGACAGTCCTACTGAGGACCTGCACTACCTTGGCTGCAGCCCAGGCTCTGGAACGCAGCTTCTGTGTCAGAAACCACATAATCAAGTCTATTAGAGGTGTTGAACAACAAGTGAGCCATGCTAGCTGCTAACTGCACAGGTTTTCGTTGACTTGGTAGCTACATTAGCCTCGTAGCTCCGGTGCAAAACTACTGAAGTGAACTTCAGACACCAAACAGGCCTCGACTGACTGGCTGCAGCTTGGCCTTTTAAGAGAATCAAAGAAAGCGAGGAGGTTTTATCAGCTGTCCTTTCTGCTACAGTTCACAGAAACCTGATTCAGTGATAAACCCATGGCAAAATTCACACCTGCACAGAATCAAAAAGCCCTCTCTCTTCAACCCCCTCCTCCCCCCCTCCGCCCCCCGAGCTGCAGGAGTGAACTCGGCATCGTGGCGAGGTGTGAAGAATGCTCTGGCAGCCGAGGAGCTGCGGAGGAGAAAAGGTCTTCAGACGGTCCAGAGCACTTTTACACACACTGGACCTGCACTGCACGGACAAAACACCAGGACAGTTATTATATCACTACACACTGTGACTGTGATTTACCTCACAGTGCATTAAAACACACAGTCAGTCAGGAAAGTGACCGGCCTAAAGACTGACCTGCTGTGGTTTCATTAAAATAATCTACATTCATTGTTTTACATGTTGATTCACAGACACTCATCTGGAGCTGTGATTGGTCAGGATTCTCTCAGCACACACTGGGATTGGCTAGAGGATCAATAACATATTAGCAGCTCCAGAGAAGAGGAGAGAAAAGAAGAGCAGAGGAGAGAAGAGAGGGGGAGAGAAGAAATGGAAGGAAGAGAAAAAAAAGAGAATAGAATAAAAAGGAAGAAGAGAGATAAAAGAAAAGGGGACGAGATTAGACGAGAGGGAGACCGGAGAAAAGACGAGAAGAGAGAAGAAAATGTTAGTGGAGAAAAGAATGGAAGAGAAAAAGGGAAGAGAAGCAAAGAGGAGAGAAGAGAAAGGAAGAGAGAGGAAAAGAGAAAAAAGAGCCAAAATGAAGAGAAGGCAGAGAAAAACAGAAGGGGAGAGATAGAATGAAGAGAAGAAAAAAAAGAGAAGATAAGAGAGGACAAAGGAAGAGAGGGGAAAAAAACAAAAAGAAGAGAAATGAAAATGAAGGGAAGAGAAGAAGTGAGAAAAGAGGGGAAGTGATGAAAGAGAAAAAAGGAAAAGAAGAAGTGACCAAAAGAGAGAAAAAAAGAAGATAAATGAAAGGAAGAGAAGCAAAAGAGAAGAGGAGAGCAGAAAGAGAAAGAAAAAGGAGAAAGAGAAAGGAAGAGAGGAGAAGTGAAAGGAAAGGAACAGAAGGAGAAATGGAAGAGGAGAGAGTAGGAGAAGGGGAGAGAGAGGAGGAGAAGAAGAGAGGGGGGAGAAGGAGAGAGAGAGGATGAGAAGGAGAGAGAGGATGAGGAGAGATAGAAGGAGAGAGGATGAGAAGGAGAGAGAGAGGATGAGAAGGTGAGAGAGGATGAGAAGGAGAGAGAGAGGATGAGGAGAGATAGAAGGAGAGAGGAGGAGAAGGAGAGAGAGAGGGTGAGAAGGAGAGAGAGGAGGAGAAGAGATAGAAGGAGAGAGAGGATGAGAAGAGAGAGGATGAGGAGAGATAGAAGGAGAGAGAGAAAGAGTAGGAGAGAGAGAAGAAGAGAAGAGATAGTAGGAGAGAGAGGTCAGGGGTCAGAGGCTCTCCTTCATCCTCAGGTCGTTAAGCCTCTTTAGTGCGTCCTCTAATCTCTCTGAGCAGCGCCGGACCTCAGACTCACCAACTGAGGAAAGACTCTCAGATCTGACCTCTAGATTAGACCCATTAGATGACAGTCTGATTTGTTTATCCTGGTGCAGCTCAGGATTTCAGAAATTACTGTTAATAATAATAATAATAATAAATCACTGAATACCCAAATAACTGAACACACATGCGTTTATTAATGAATCCATTCAAATGACTGTAAGAGTGATACAGTCTCTAACCTGCTCCGCTCAGAGGGCTGAGCTGTGTGCTGAGCTGTGTGGACAGTAAACAGACTCAAACTGAACTCAGTGGGATATTAATGTACAGTTAAATGTACAGTTTGTATGTAAACAGTGTTCAAGAAAGGAAGATAAAAGAGACAGAAGAGGGATACAGAGAAGAGAGAGAGAGAGCGAGAGAGAGAGAGAGAGAGAGTGTTGAGGATGGAGATGTGAGTGTAGACGTGTCCTTCGCTGTGTTCTAAGCGAGTGACGGAACAGAACGAGAGAAGAGAAGAAGAGGAGGGGCATTAAAATTTAATGAAGTCGTGTTTGTTTCCTGCCGAGTGAGCGTGTTGTGCAACGTGTGCTCGCGAACACACACACACACACGCACTCGCACACACGCACTCGCACACACGCACTCGCACACACGCACTCGCACACACGCACACACAAAGGCCTCCCACGCTCCCTAACTCATTCGTTGGTGGGGGGTTGGGGGGTGGTTGTAGTGCACTGTTAGTGCAGCGCTAACCTCCAGCTCCTGGTTCCCCCGGGACCCCCCGTCACTGCACCACACAACACACTGAGCTTCAATTATTAAAGAGCTGGTTACCTGTGAGGCTGTTAGAGGTCCCAGTTACCTGTGTGTGTGTGTGTATACACACACATACAGGTAACCGGGACCTCTGTAAGACCATATATATATATATGGGGGTACCACGGTCTGAAAGAAATCAGAGTAAGAGTTTACATGCACTGAGAAATCTGATTACTGAGCTAAAATCCAGCCTCTTTATCAGATTTCTAGATCAGAGCATGAGAGGTGTTTACATGACCAGTCGAATAATCAGATAACTGCAGAAATCTGACTATGGTTGGAGTTTTGAGTGCATGTAAACGCACTCAATGTTATCGCTTTTCTAAGTGAACACAAGTTCATCCTCTACAGATGCACTTCTGCACATTTTAATGCACGATTACTGTTTATTTACTGAAAATATTAAGGAAAAAATAAAACTAAATGTGGCCTGTTCAAAGGTTACAGTAGATTTAATATGGCGTGTTTTATTGGGGGGGAAAAAAAGCTTTCATCACTGAGCTTCACTGTGAACACACCTATGTTTGCTCAAGCAGAGTCGTTTCATTCATAGGTCAAGTCAGATCAAGTCAGAAATCTTGGCATAACAATTGATTCAGACCTGAATTTGAGCAGACGCGTAAAAATAACAACGAAAGCTGCTTTTTACCATCAAGAATACATCAAAAACTTCATGTCAAAACAAGACCTAAAAAGATTGATTCATGCGTTTATCTCCAGCAGGCTGGACTACTGCAATGGTCTCTTTAGCGGCCTCCCCAAAACCACAATCGGCTAAAGCTTTCTCAAAACGCAGCTGCTCGAACGCTTACGAGAACTTAGAGGTCCCAGCACGTCTCTCCAGGCCTCCAGCCACTGCACTGACTACCAATTAAGTACAGAATTGACTTTAAGGTGCTTATAATTATATTTAAACCACTGAACGGCCTTAAACTAAAATACACTGCTGATCTGCTGCAAATATACTAACCCAACAGGCCTCTCTGATCACTCAGGACCGGTCAGTTAGTGGTACCCAGAATCAGAACCCAACAAGATGAGGCAGCATTCAGTCATTACGCTGCTGGAACGAACTCCCAGACGAGGTCAGAAACGCTCCGAATGCAGCCTACATTGTTTGGTACAGACCTTTGAACTTTCCGGTTTGGTCCAAAAAGGTGTGAAAGATACCTCGTAATCTGGACCAAAGGACCAAAACTTGGTGGTCTCAGTCTGGATCAAACTGAACCATGATTCGGTTTGTTTGCAGTGTTTTTTTTGGATGGTTTTGACTTTCAGACCACAAAGTTGCATTTTGCATTCCCTCACAATAACGTTGCATTTCGCATTCCCTCACAATAACGTTGCACTTCGCATTCCCTCACAATAATGTTGCATTTCGCATTCCCTCACAATAAAGTTGCACTTCGCATTCCCTCACAATAACGTTGCATTTCGCATTCCCTCACAATAACGTTGCATTTCGCATTCCCTCACAATAACGCTGCACTTCGCATTCCCTCACAATAATGTTGCATTTCGCATTCCCTCACAATAACGTTGCATTTTGCATTCCCTCACAATAACGTTGCACTTCGCATTCCCTCACAATAACGTTGCACTTCGCATTCCCTCACAATAACGTTGCACTTCGCATTCCCTCACAATAACGTTGCACTTCGCATTCCCTCACAATAACGTTGCACTTCGCATTCCCTCACAATAACGTTGCACTTCGCATTCCCTCACAATAATGTTGCACTTCGCATTCCCTCACAATAACGTTGCATTTCGCATTCCCTCACAATAACGTTGCACTTCGCATTCCCTCACAATAACGTTGCACTTCGCATTCCCTCACAATAACGTTGCACTTCGCATTCCCTCACAATAACGTTGCACTTCGCATTCCCTCACAATAACGTTGCATTTTGCATTCCCTCACAATAACGTTGCACTTCGCATTCCCTCACAATAACGTTGCATGTTACATTCCCTGAAAACTTTGTGAGGGAATTATTTTCAGGGACTGCAAAATGCAACATTATTGTGAGGGAATGCGAAATGCAACGTTATTGTGAGGGAATGCGAAAGTAATGTTGCATTTTGCATTCCCTGAAAATTATTTTGCATTCCCTCACAATAATGTAGCATTTTGCGTTCACTCATAATTCTGCACTGGATGTCGCATGGGAACACTGTCATTGCATTTTTTTTTATGTTGTAATGCCACTTTAGGGGCTCAGTATAAAATGCCTTCAAGTATCGTGATGGGATAATTTTGCCATTTTGCCCACCTTTAACGGAGGCAGGAGGTCTTTTTAAACGTGTGTTTGTAGTGTTTGGCCCTCACAGCGTACTTTAACCCAGAGTGCTGAGTCAGGGTCATACCTTGCAGCCCTCACACGCGCTGACTCCATAGTGGTACCCCGACGATTTATCCTGGCAGACGAAACAGGGCTTATAGACCCGCGGCGGAGGGGGCGGCGAGGGGGGGCTGGGCACGATCTCCTCCGAACTGGTGCTCTGAGTGTCCACAGCTGAAAGAAGAGAGAGAGAGAAAGAGAGAGTTAACATGACTAATCTTACATCAAGTCCCACCGAAGTCCCAGACGAGTCATCATTAATGCCTAAAACACTTTTCAAAAACCGTCTCATCTAAATCTGCACTCAATCACGACACGTTTCCACACCCACGACCAAAGCTGTGGAAACAAGTTTACACATCCTTATCAGACCATCAGGTGTGCACAAACATCCTGCACTCAGATGTGAACGCGCTTCAGTCAACACCTTTAATGATGAAATATTGTAAAAATGATGATATTATATAGAAGCAAAAAAGAATTGCAGACTTTAAGCAGTGAGTGTTAAATTCTACTGCATCTCTCTGTGCTGAGCCTCCAGAACCAACAACGGGACCCATCAGACCAACACGCATGTCACACTGACACATTATCGCCATCCCAGTGCGGACGCAGCACTAGGAGTGGACAATATGGCAATACCTTGCTTTTCTGAGCATTTCGTGGATATAATCAGCACTACAAGAGCACTGAGTCATTACAGAGACAGCATAACGAGGCCTGTATAACTGGATTCAGTACAGCAATATGTGAAACACTTCAAAATCACTGCATTCAGTTTTCATAGTAATTTTTAAACACGGCTATTCTGTTTTTTTTTTGTCTATTCCAGCTCAGCTGAAACTCAGAAAACAAATAAATATTACGGCACATATCGTGTATCATGAAAAAAAGTCTGAGTGATTCAAAAAGATTCGTCCGATTTCAAAGTGATTTATTTCCCTTGTAAATCATTACAGATCAGTGCAGTAAACTGTAAATGGTTTAAATGAACATAAAGTTTATTATGTAATTGTACAAGGTCTCAGTATGAACCTCCTCCAGCTGTACAGACAACATCAACACCATAGTCAAACTCATCCCATACTGGATTGAGCATGTCGGGTGTCGCTGCACTCACGGCTCTTTCAGTGAGATTTCGGAGATCATCCAGTGTTGTGGAACCAACGACGAACGCTCTGAGCTGTTGGAGCTTCACTGCCCATGAAAATCACACTGCACAGTTATGACGGATTCACTCTTATTGAAGTGGAGAATGCAGAACGCTTTCTGCTCAGGGGTCTCATCTCCTCTCAGACTGAAGGGAGCCATCTTCCACTGAGAGTCAGACACTCTATCACCCCCTATTTCAATTGGATTGTGATTGGTTCCTATAGGCGCCTCACGGTTGTAAAAATATGTTTATAGTGTATAACAGCAAAGTAGCAACTGCAGCTGTGAATCGTACTGGATCTCTGTGGGCTCAGACTGTGCTGAGCCTCCTCTCTCTACACATCTCTCTCTCCCTCTACTCACACATCTCTCCATTCTCTCCCTCTACTCACACACTCTCTCCATTCTCTCCCTCTACTCACACACTCTCTCCATTCTCTCCCTCTACTCACACACTCTCCATACTCTCCCTCTACTCACACTCTCTCCATTCTCTCCCTCTACTCACACATTCTCTCCATTCTCTCCCTCTACTCACACATTCTCTCCATTCTCTCCCTCTACTCACACTCTCTCCATTCTCTCCCTCTACTCACACATTCTCTCCATTCTCTCCCTCTACTCACACTCTCTCCATACTCTCCCTCTACTCACACATTCTCTCCATTCTCTCCCTCTACTCACACATTCTCTCCATTCTCTCCCTCTACTCACACTCTCTCCATTCTCTCCCTCTACTCACACTCTCTCCATTCTCTCCCTCTACTCACACACTCTCTCCATTCTCTCCCTCTACTCACACACTCTCTCCATTCTCTCCCTCTACTCACACACTCTCTCCATTCTCTCCCTCTACTCACACTCTCTCCATTCTCTCCCTCTACTCACACTCTCTCTCCATTCTCTCCCTCTACTCACACATTCTCTCCATTCTCTCCCTCTACTCACACACTCTCTCCATTCTCTCCCTCTACTCACACTCTCTCTCCATTCTCTCCCTCTACTCACACATTCTCTCCATTCTCTCCCTCTCCTCACACTCTCTCCATTCTCTCTCTCTCCTCACTCTCTCTCCATTCTCTCCCTCTACTCACACTCTCTCCATTCTCTCCCTCTACTCACACACTCTCTCCATTCTCTCCCTCTACTCACACTCTCTCCATTCTCTCCCTCTACTCACACTCTCTCTCCATTCTCTCCCTCTCCTCACACTCTCTCCATTCTCTCTCTCTCCTCACTCTCTCTCCATTCTCTCCCTCTACTCACACTCTCTCCATTCTCTCCCTCTACTCACACACTCTCTCCATTCTCTCCCTCTACTCACACTCTCTCTCCATTCTCTCCCTCTCCTCACACTCTCTCCATTCTCTCTCTCTCCTCACTCTCTCCATTCTCTCTCTCCTCACACACTCTCTCCATACTCTCCCTCTACTCACACTCTCTCCATTCTCTCTCTCTCTTTCTCTCTGTGGTTCCACTCAGACTGCCTGTCACAGCTTTATTAATTAACGCTGGCAGAGCGCCCAGACAGAGAAAGAGAGAGTTAGGTAGGTGACAGTAATACCAGTGAGTGCACACATTCCTCTCTCTCATCTGTTCAGTCATTCTTTCGCTCACTCACTCACTCACACACATCCTGACATGGAATGCTGAATTTTGCCCTTTAGTGCCCTTACTTGATCACTCAGCAGAGAGAGAGAGAGAGAGAGAGAGAGAGAGAGAGAGAGAGAGAGAGAGAGAGAGAGAGAGAGAGAGAGACCTACTGTTATCTGTAAAATGGACAAAGATCGTTACAGTTTCATTCATCTTTAGTGAACCTACACGAGTCTTCTGAGTTTATATGGAAAGTTGATGATGGTAAATTAGTGAAATCTGAAATAATAAAAGGTTTCTTTGGGGACTATTTTGCCTCACAGCACCCTGCATGTATCCCTCCACCATGAATGGATTTCAAAATAGGCCAAAACTATCATAAAACAGTGTCTCAGTCATCAGGCAGTGAATTCATAACCGTCTCATGTAGTAACTTTCTGTGAGGGAGCTTTTAGAGGTGGACGTCTGGTTCCTATCACCACCACTGTGAACAGTTCTGTTCTGTTTCTCTAGAACAGAGCGTTTCACACCAAACCACTCTGAATGACTCTGTTTACATCTCAACCTTTTAATTAAACAGAAATTTTTATACCAACAATATTGTGATTTTTTTTTTTTATCAACTACCAATAATAAGTGATGATATTATGCCTGTCAGTGTGTTTGGTTAACCCTTTCCTGCCCTCTCCTCCAGGAAGCCCTGTATTATTTACAGTCATCATCCAATTCCTGCTTTTTCTCATCAGTCATTCATTGTGTTAAAGGGAAATTCAACCAGTTTTTATAATTCTATTCAGTAGAGGTGGGAATCGCCAACTGGGTCCAGTTGGGAACCGGTTCCGGACGCGTCAGATTCGTATGACTGAAGTTATGAGTCACTAATATTGAAATCGAGTGTTTTTCTGACATTCATGTATTTCATAAACTTACATGCCATGATGTTAAACTCTGCGTCTACGCTGCTCCTTCTCTCTTGCCACGTCATCTTATCTCACTCCTCCTCTTTCCATCCCTACCTGCTTCTCTCTCTCTTCCCTTCTTCTTCTCTCCTCTCACTCACTCCCTCCTCTTTCTGTGCCTCCCTTCTTCTTCTCTCTCTCCTCCCTTCTCTCTTCCCTTCTTCTCTCCTCTCACTGTGCCTCTCTTCTTCTTCTCTCTCTCCCTTCTCCCCTGTCTAGTTCTCCTTCTCTCTGTCTGACCTGTTTCTGTGTCCTGAAATGAGCAGCTGAGCTGTGAAATGAAGAACTCTACAGAATCCAGGACAGCAGTGTGAGCTGAGAGCTGGAGCTGCTCTCCGACAAGAAGAAAAGGAAAAAAAACGTCTTTGATGATCAGCTCTGCTATAATTATACTACAAATATAAAGAAGTGTTCACATGGATTCACATTGTTTATTTAAAAATAATATGTACGATATACGATCCCAATTCCAAAAAGGTTGGGACGCTGTGCAAAATGTAAATAAAGGCAAAATGCCATCATGTGCAAATCATTTAAACCCTAAACTTCATTAAAAATACTAAAAAACATCAAATGTTAAAACTGAAAAAAAATACTGTTTTTTGAAAAATATATGCCCATTTTGAATTTGAAATGGTTGCCAAAACATGTAAATATCGTTTAGCATTAATGGCGCCTTCACAGATGTGCACGTCATCCATTCCATGTGCACTAATGCCCCCCTATACCATCATGAATACTGGCTTTTGAACTGTGCACTGACAACAAGCTGAGTGGTCTTTAGCCCAGAGGACAGTGACCATGATTTCCAAAAAGTGGTTACAAAATGTTGATTCGTCGGACCACAGGACACTTTTCCACTTCACCTCAGTCCATTTTAAATGAGCTCGGCCCAGAGAAGGTGGCAGCATTTCTGGATTCTGTTTATATCTGGTTTCTTCTTTGCGTTTAAGAGTTTTAATTAGCATTTGTGGATGCAGTGATGAACTGTGTTCACAGACAGTGTTTTTCAGAAGTGTTTCTGAGCCCATGCAGTGATTTCCACAACAGAATCATGTCAGTTTTTAATGCAGTGCTGCCTGAGGGCCCAAAGATCACAGCCAGCAAATACAGTTTTTTTTCCCTCAGTTTCAACATTTGTAAACAGTTGTTTAATCACATCACAGTCAACACTCAGCGCTGTGGGTCTGAAAGGATGTGTAGCGGTTCAAGAAGAACCTCACTGAGAAAAGGAGACGGACACATCAAACAAAGAAGCTGAACGATGGACTGACCACCCCAGAGTCCAGACCTCAACATCTAAGATTGAACTTTGGAGGTGTGTCTGCAGATTCTTTGAGGAACTGAAAGTGAGTCTTCTGAAAAGAATAAAAGCTGGAATAAAGGGAAAGAGTGACTCGCTGAAAACTCACACAGCTGATAAAACAACTTCAAACAGACTGAATTAAATAAATGGGGGGGGGGTGTTGG